GTTTTGCGACCTGAGCTGTTCTGACTTTTTTTAGCCTTGAGTCTTGCGCATCTTTTAATACCCAAAACATAACATTCGGACCACGGGTTGCCACGCAGCAAAAAAACAAACAAACAAAACTAGAAATGTGTTTGTGGACAAACACAAGCTGTTTCGGATATTTGAAATATTCCGTGCACATGATGAACAATTAGTGACGTCACTACAAATGTCATCTATAACAGCACATTATACGTACATATCAAGTTACAACCAAATCAAGCATTATAGTTCTGTAGATATACTGGTAGGCCTTTAATAGAAAAGTGCCCATTTAATGGACGTCACATGACATTTGATGATGCCATCACTTGAATTTTCATCTGTCACACATCCAGGTATGGGTAACAATCCAATCAGACCTATGGTTCTGTAGATATAGGCCTTAGAAAATGCTCTTTCAATGTGATGTCAAATGAAATGTGATGACGTCATGATGACGTTACTTCAATTTCCATCTGTAACACATCATCAAGGACCATCTTCGGCTGCTGGTCTTAGTGTGTCCCAAGTCTGAAGTTATATATCTGAAGTTTCAGGCATATGAAAGTGCCAAAGTGTATGGTTTGAAGAAAAACGTGTACAAAACCTATTGGAAACAAGTCAGGTGTGTTTACAAACACAAATGCCCTGCAACCGTGACTGTTCCCATGACATAACACCACTCTTTTAACATCAACTTACATGTATACCTTGGTCACATGGAACGTTCATTGACAGCATTAGTGTCTTCTGTAGGGTTTATATGAATTAATCCCTGTGATCTTAGAAAAAATACAAGATTTCTATTGTTTTAGCCACTGTGACCTTGACCCTTGACCTTTCGACCCCCAATGCAATAGGCCTATTTGGATTACCAAGAACGATCCACAAACCAAATTTGAAGTTCACATGTAAAGTATTTCTCAAGTTATCACGCTGACAAAATTTCTTTTGTTTTAGCCACTGTCACCTTGACTCTTGACCTTTTGGCCCCAAGTGAAATAGGCTTCTTAGGATTGCCAAGAACAATCCACAAACCAAATTTGAAGTTCATATGTAAAGTATTTCTCAAGTTATCGCGCTGACAAAATTATCGTTTCAGCCACTGTGACGTTGACCCTTGACGTTTTGGCCCCAAATGCAATAGGCTTCTTAGGATTACCAAGAACAATACACAAACCAAATTTGAAGTTCATATGTTAAGTATTTCTCAAGTTATCGCGCTGACAAGATTTGTCCGGACACACACACACACACACACCCAGTCGTTTTTTGCTATGCTTCCGAGGATTGGCTTTGTGTTTTCCTTTGTCCCTGTAATATAACACTCTCCCATAGACTAAGCACACAAACCTGCGTTCGAGGACAATAGGCACCTTCCTTCAAGGATCAATGGCCCCTTTGTGCTCCTTTTGTTGTCTGTCCTCAGGCGTAATGCCATGCAGGAACACACACCCACCCCCAGTCTTTTTTTTACTATACGCCTGAGGTCAACTATTGTGTTTTCCTTTGTCCCTCTAATATAACACATTCCCATAGACTAAGCACATAACCGTACGATCGAGGACCGGTTTTAACAATAGGCACCGTCGTCCGAGGGTCAAAGGCTCCTTTGTGCTCCTTTTGTTGTCTGTCCTTTTGTTGTCTGTAATACAATACAAGAGCCCCCACACACACTTGTTTTACATACGCTATGTGGACATTCCTTTGTTTTCGTGTAGTTAAGAAAACTCGGTACAAAAAATAACTTTACTTAAACTGTGAAAACTCTTTTAACCCAATTTTTTTTCTATGATTCCCTATAGTGTTTCTCTTCATTCTGCTACCGATAAACTTAACCCAAAAATGCCTCTAAACTTGTTTTCCAGAAAGGGCAAAACGTTATGTGGACACGGCATAGTCCACATAACGTTAACACAACCTGCATTATGTGGACATCTTTTGTTCACAAGTCCACATAGGGAATGTAAGACAAACTCACACAAACTCACCCATACTTGTTTCACATGACTAGTGTGGACTTTCCATTGCTTTCGTGTAGTTAAGAAAAACCAGTGAAAAAACTCATTTTTCTCAAACTGTGAAAACTCTTTCAACCCAATTTTTTTCTATGATTCCCTTTAGTGTTTCTCTTCATTCTGCTACAGATAAACCTAACCCAAAAATGCCTCTAAACCTGTTTTCCAGAAATGGGGAAACACTGTGTGGACGTGGGGCAAGTCCACACAACGTCGGTGCTACCTACATTATGTGGACGTCTTTTGTTCGGAAGTCCACACTGCGTATGTAAGACAAACTCACCCACCCAAACTTACTCTTGAAAACTATTCTCCTGAGGACAATGCTTTGTGTTTCCCTTTGTCCCTTTAATATAACCCTGTAACATAGACTAAGCACACGAACCTACAACAGAGGACCGTTTAAAACCAAAGACCTAACACCCGAAGACTGAAAGGATCCTTTCTTCTCCCTTTGTGTGTCTGTCCTCGGAGGTTATGTAGAACATGTATACACACAAATGTGTATTCACCATTGATCGTGGACGTCCTATTGTCCCTCTTTTGTTTGTACAAGACCCTAATCGTGGACGTATGCTGGGAATCGTGAACGATATTGTTCTCTTTTGTTCTCTGGTATTTGTCGTCCGCGGTTTGAAAAGATGAACACATACATGCATACAGACACCCATACACAGTAACATATTGTTAATGTACCCTAACTTGGCACGGCCCCTAACGTGGCGCACTTTGATTTTTCCCCTGTAGCGCCTACCTACAGCAAAAGTTTGAACTAAAATTTCACAGAAAGTGACATTTCAATTTCTAAACACTCCCGTTCACAAATCACGAGTTTATCTATCCGTTTCATATATATATCATATATATCATATCCGTTTCAAAAATATATTTCGGCGTGATTTTCCAATTTTATTTCGAAGTGCACAGTGAACCCTTTAAAAACGTCCCCCAAAAATAAGCAAATAATTTTCTGACAAACTTCTAGTTGGTCATGTAAGAAGAGGTATTGGTTCATCAGAATTTATCAACTTTACAGAAATTCTCAAATGTTAATTTGGAATTTTCCGAGATTTATTCAAGTGCGCCACGTTGGGGAACACTCAGCCGACAGAGACTAAATAACAAGCATTAATAAGGTAAAAGTACCAGTATTTCACTGCATGAATTTTAAGTTTGTCAATGAAGTTTTGCAGCAGTACATGAGAAATGTCAGTGTAAATGTCGAAGTGCGCCATGTTAGGGAACACCAGGCACGGTTCTAGAACCAATATTTTGGGGGGGCTAGCAGGGTGGATCCAGAATTTTTTTCAGGGAGGCGTGCTGAAATGTAGACCGGTTATTTTTTCCAGACACTTGGGGGGGGGGGGGGGGAGAGGCCTCATGCCATTTTCAATGGGGAGCGCCCATAAAATCCTAAAATCATTGACACTATATTAACTAATGCACCCTTGTCACGACTATTTTTTTTAGGGAGACCGTTCGCATGTACATCACAATCCTTCTTTTTGCTAATGCAATTTTTTTTTTTTACGGAATTTATTTTGGGGGGGCTAAAGCCCCCCCGTAGAACCGCGCCTGGGGAACACCACTATACATACACACAGAAGAAATCTGCTATCGCAATATCCCCCTCTGGCTTACAGCCAGAGGGATAAGAATTGTTTTTACATTAAGGCAAAGACATGACTGTGTTTTATGTCCCAAGTCCTGATCAGAAAAAAGTGTATACATTCTATGGGATTTGGAATGAACAAAAGAAGAAGTAAAAGAAAATCTTAACAAAAGCAAAGGCTTTTTCTCAACTATGTGAAAAAGCCAAAAATAAAAATCAGAAAATAACAGCATTGCTGTTGAAACCCCTCAACCAGAGTGTCAAGTTATCATCCGGAAACCATTAACCTTTAACTCAACATGGTGACCTTGACCTTTGACCCCAGAACCAATCCCAACATGCCTGTAGCAATGGGCAACCCCCTACCAAAGTTAAACACCAAAATCTCAATTCTAACTCAAGTTATCATCCGGAAACCATTTACCTTTAACTCACCACGGTGACCTTGACCTTTGACCCTTTGACCCCAAACCAATCCCAACTTGCCTACTCCCAAGGGCAACCCCTACCAATGTTAGACACCAAAATCTCATTTCTAACTCAAGTTATCATCCGGAAACCATTTACCTTTAACTCACCACGGTGACCTTGAACTTTGACCTTTTGACCTCAAAACCATTCCCAACTTGCCTACTCCTAAGGGCAACCCCCTACCGAAGTTACAATCCCAAACAACATTTCTAACTTAAGTTATCATCCGCAAACTAAGCTGCCCGGATGGTCTAGCCAGACGGGGGTGATACGGACTTTTTCTAAAGATTCGGGGTGACTGGGGTGATGTGTCTGAAAGGAACATCACAGGGGGTATGGTCAGAACGGACATACGGACGTTAGCCAGACAGAATTGTGGGGTGATAGCATTGTGTTCCCATTATCCCTTTTTCTAAAGATTCCCTTCTGGGGTGATGTTTTTCTATTTTAAAAATAGTGGGGTGATGTGTCCTGAAAGGAACATCATCCCACAAGGGTGGTATGGTCAGGACGGGCGTTCTAGCCAGACGGACTTGTGGGGTGATAGCATTGTGTTCCCATTGTCCCTTTTTCTAAAGATTCCCTTCTGGGGTGATGTTTTTCCATTGTGTAAAAAGTGGGGTGATGTGTTCTGAAAGGAACATCACCCCACAAGGGTGGTCTGGTCAGAACGGACAGACATACGGACAGACGCCGTAGGTGATGACAATACCCTTCGAGCCTCTCGGCTGAGGTAATGACTACCTGTACTACCATTTTTTTGTCTATCCATACATTACATATATTACTTTTTACGTATCGTACACCACATAAAATCTCCTCCACAGGAAAACAGTTAGTAAAAGTGGTATTAAAAAGCTCTTCTGATATATACCTACCAAAAAACATGGCAAACCAAAGGGGGAAAAGTCCAAATGAATCACCTCACCAGGAGAATCTGGAGTAATATGAGAAAGGAAATCTGTTATTTCCAAGAAATATATGTATTAATTGTTTTGACTCAAAGAATCATCATTTGCCCATTACCAATAACCCCCACCCCCCTCTAAAATTGATAGCATACAATCATGAGACGAATTTGAATGAAATGTATATAACATTGATTGCAAAACGACGAAATTGATTCGTACGTTCGACAACTGCAGACGACGAAACTGAATTGTCTAAAATGAGCGACCAAAGACAAAATTGAACATGGGGTATGTAAGATCATGAATTTTCAAGACGAATTTGAAGTAAACCGTTTATGAATTTGAATGAAAACAGTTTTAAAATGTGCGGGAAAACCTATACTACATGTACTGTATGCATCACCTTGAATTGGACTATTACCCTGCATGTAAACCCTACGTGTGTGTGGCAGTTCCTTCACAAAAAAAAGAGACCCTATTGTTGACAACCATTCGTCCATGAAAGCAATCCTACAGTAAGAAGCATGTGCTACCTGTTGTCTAGTAAATGCTGAACACTAAAGGAAAAGTTTTATTCATACAGAATCAAGCATTGATTTTTACTTAATGCTTATACTCCACAGTAAATGCTTTTACTTTTTGCTTTAACTTCCTAGCATTCGCTAGTTTTTATACATACGACCCATTATCTATTTCTTTGAATTAAAAGTTAAAAATAGCATGTACAGTACATCTTTTATGACTTGAAGTAATAGTTTTGTTTTAAGACCAATTGTAAGGGACCTAAAAATGGAACATACAATTACCATTGGTTTTTAGAGGGCCAACTAATTCTAATACCATCCCCTACTTCAGAAAATGTATACTAATTATCATGCATACCAATTTATGCATGCAATTTCTTCCCTCTGGGTATTTTTTTTTTTTTAAATGGCAAGAGAAACAAAAAATGTAAATGTATATAAATAAATAGAAAATCAACTTTTTACCTGTCTGTTTTCTGTATCGTCTTGGAGAGACTCTATCTCCATGTCTGCTCCCATGAAGAATGCATCCCTGTTGAATCCATGTAAAAGAGAAATAATTTATGCCATCTTGATATGAATCGAATACCAGATAATTGCAGTGACAGCCTATGACAAGCACAAACAGTGACAATCAACCCTTCTGTGCGCTAACCAGTCGCTAGAGACTGGTTTATTACAGCAATAATTCTTTCATAACCGGAAAGCGGACACTTGAGGGCACAATTTCGACCCTCTTTTCATGAGGGTCACCATTTGCGAAATTTATTTCAACATTGTTTGAAGTTTTAAAAGCAAAATATTCTGTAAATATTCTTTAAGTGTCAGGATTTGGTTTTCATGCAGAAAAACACTCAAAATTTTGCCCGAGGACTTTTCAGAATTAGATGTTAATATAGACTTCATTTACGGATCAGCCATATCAAATTGAAAACGCGGTAAAGTCTTCATTTTTGAAACTTGTGAGAAGAAACAAAAGCAATGAAATAAAAGTTCAGTACACATTAATACATGTACCAGTCTGCTTTGACGAATAACTTAAATTTGTGATTAAACATACCTAATGTTTTAAGCCACAGTTAAAAAATATTGAAAGTGAGGTTTGGAATGCACTCCAATTAAAATAGTAAAATAGTTATAAAAGGCTTCCTCATGAATAAGGTCTATGGTCTCTGTGTGCCAGCAAGAGAGGGTGCTTTTTTACCACTTTTGAAAGCCCCGTGGATGGGACACACCATGTGTACGTACTGGTTCAAACACGTATATATACATGTATATTTGTTAATATGCACAAAGCCATAGCGTCTCTGTGTGAGCGTCGGGCACCACTTCTTCACAGCAGGATCCAGTTCACCATGGAACAAGAAAGAGATGGCAACATCTCATTTCTTGATGTTAGTTAGGGCCCATAGTTCCATCACCCTCCCCTACTTAGGCACCACTTCTTATCACATCCAACACATCCTCCAAAAGCATGGAATTCCACACAGCCCCTCTGAAGACGTAGAACCTGCTGACTTCACACAAGGATCGGTGTGACCCAGAATGCAGACCAGGGGTGTACAAGATTCCATGTCAATGTGGCAAAGTGTATATCGGCGTGACTGGCAGGGACCTCCCCACCATACTCAATGAGCACAAAGTCCATGGCAGGAAGGGAGACTTCGAGAAATCTTCCATCGTCAAACACTCCCACACTGAGGACCACCCGATCAACTGGAGCCAAGCAGAACTGGTACCCCCGATGCATTAGAGAAGCCATCGAGATCATCAAGCATATGTTCCTCATGTTCCCCAACACATCGGTTTCCCATCTGGCGGCCCATCCTGAAGTCCAAGTCCGATGGGTCTCCTATACCCTAGGACAACTTAGTTTCAGTTCTCGCCTATGGGTCACCTATATGCTGAGCTCCTTCCCCTTTGCCCCCTCACTGTGTACTGACACGCTCCAATGATCATCCAGCATCCCTCAGTCAACTTGCATCCTTCTCAGCTTTACCGGTTTCGAGCTTCACCAGTTTGCATCCTTCCCACGCCTCACCACACCCATCCTTATAACATCGCATCATCGTTCCAATCCCTCATTCTCCTGACGACGGGCAGAGCATACTGTTCGAAACGTTGAGTTCCTCCGGTTCTCTTCAGAACCACATATACTCACAAAAGAGATTTATTCACATGGTGCTAACGCAAACTTATCTCGTCTTAGTATCTTTCCAACATGCAAACCTTCAAATCTCATCTCCCTAATGTCACAGCCCCCCTTTAGAGGCACAAATTTATCGTTGCAATTAGGTTATATTTGTTTAGTAAAAATACCGAAATTCATGGAAAAGGACAAGGGAATATTGGGTTAGGGCACATTTAAGTTTGAAAAATTTTGTGCACAAGTCTATGGGGATGTCTCCCAAATGTCCAATCCAGGGTAATTATTGGCTGTTTCAGCAACCAGCCGAAACAGCCTTCTTTGTTTTCGTTAATTTTTAAAAAATTTTTATTCTTCTTTTTCAGCCATTCCCCATAGCATTCGTACATGTTTTCACAGTAGAAGGCACTTTGGGCACTAAATTCAATCCGGTTGACTTTATACTCGGCACACACTTACACCAGCATCTGAAGATGTGCGCTGAACATTGACGTCATCATGACGTCATCAGGTAACTCAAGCGTCACAATATAGGTGCATATTTTGAAGGCTGATATTTTCATAACTACAGGTTCGATTGGGTTGAAACTTGGTATGTACATGTACGTAAACCGGGATGTGTTATAGATGAAAATTTACGTGACGTCACGATGACGTCATCAGTTGACAAGTGACGTCATATTTAATGTGCACATTCTAACGGCCAATATCTACAAAACTACAGGTCTGATTGGGTTGAAAGTTGGTATGTACCTAGACTGGGATGTGTTATAGATGAAAATAGAAGTGCACCATGATGACGGCATCATGGGTTACGTGACATCAGGTTAATGATTAATAGATTTAATCTTTAAAAATCAATATAAATCAACCGTGAGAGACTTGCACATGATTTTTGCGGGAATTGATAGAATAATCCAGGGTTTTCATTTTTGATATGTGTAAAATCATGTGACCCTTGCTTCCGGTTGAAACCGGAAGTGCCTTATAATTAAAAATTGGTGAAAGATGTGAACTTGCTTTCAACGATGTATGCTTAAAGTTGTTATTTAACAACAACAAAAATAATTATAGATGAAAATTGATATTGATGTCATTATGATGTCATAATTCAAAGCCCTATGAGAATGTAATCACATATTATATGCTACCAGTTATTAAAAACAGAAGTACATATCCTTCCTGGATGGAACTTATACTTGAAACTTTACTGGTGACCTGTCACAAAAAGTTAACTGAAACAGCCCTGTGTTTGCCACATATGTCTAGTTAGCATTATTGTTATTGTAATTATAGTTAGTTGGAGTTATAGTTGTAATTATAGTTGTTTTATGGTGGTTAAAGTACGACTTTAACTATTATAGCTATTATTCATACCGTCAACGATAATTGTTCGTCTTGGTGAGTTTGTAGCATTGTGGGTTTAGTGAGGTACCTTAGTGACAAAAATGCCAAGGATCGTGACACGGTGGACAAAAGCACCATTTTTTTCACCAAAGCATCTCCATGGTATACCTTATCGAAAAAAAGACGGACGCAAAAAATTGGATGATGGGAAGGGCATGTATGACGTCATTATGACTTCATCAGCTAATTATTACATGAAATATATATAAATTGATAATATCTTCTGAACTACAACCATCACAACAACAAAAGTCGCATCAAATAAAAGGGAACAACAAGATCTTTCATTTGAGTGGTATGTCAGGGGTGTGGAATGTAGTAAAGGGTGGTTTTGGGGGCCAAAAAGCACTTTTTTGGTAAAAAAACCCTGATTTTTGGCTAAATTCATGTATTTTTGTTTGGCACCTTGTTTAACATGCAAACCGTATGTGTTATTGTGAGATTTTGTTTTGAAGTCAGAGGAAAAGGTTCAAATTCTATGCCAAAAGAGTTTTTGCAATTGATTATTATTTTTTTTTAATTGATTATTAGTATCTTAAATGCGTACACTTGAAAAACATATAAATTGATAATATCTTCAGAACGACAAGCATTACAACAACAAATGTGGTATCAAATTAAAGGGAACAACAAGATCTTTCATTTGAGTGGTATGTCAGTGGGATGGAATGTAGTACAGGGTGGGTTTTTTGCCCAAAAGTACCCTTTTTGGTAAAACAAAAACAAAATTGGTGCTTAAATCATGGATTTGGGGTAATCATTTTGGCACCTTGTTTTAACATGCAAACCGTAAGTGGTATTGTGAGTTTTGGTTCTTAAGTCAGAGAGAATGGTTCAAATACTATGCCAAAAGAGTTTTCGTAATTGATTATTGGTATCTTAAATGTTTAAACTTATTCCAAAGATAGGTGGACAAAAAAATGTAACATAAGTTACAGTCGGGTGCCCATTCCAGTGGATCTCAGTTACAGATTCATCACATGTCTCGTTGTCGAGCTTGGAGGGGTTGGGCAATCTGCCGGGTGCATCTGCGATCACCATCATAGCACCAGGTTTGTAGACATCGTCGAAGTTGTATCCTTGTAGCTTAAGACGCTGCAAGCGGTGTGGTGTACTGGCTAGGATTTTGCGCCAGATCGTAACCAATGGTTTTAATGGTCAGTGACAACAATGAAGTTGGAGCCGAATGAAGTTGCAGCAGTGCCACAGCTTCCCTCTCGATATTCGAGAATATGCTCTGGGAAGAGGATCTATAGGCTCTTCGAGGAAAATGTGATGGGTTTACTTTCCTGGGTGTTGCCCAATCCTCTTTCAGATGCATCTACTTTGAGGATTGTTTCTATACCTGTGTGTCGGAGAATCGTAGCCAGGACTGAGTTCAGATGGAGTGTTTAAGGGTTGTAAAAGAAGCTTGATGGTCCTCTTCCCAGAGAAATGGTACATCTTTTCGAAGAAGATCGCTGAAGGGAGTAACTTTGTCTGCGCAATTTGGGGTGTACAGTGTGAGACATTGTTGACTATGCTAAGGAACCAGCAGTTTCCATCAGGGCTATGAGACATTCGGCCGCTCGTCATGCTCTTCAAGGGAGACCGAACACTGCAATGTCGTCCCGGTGATTGTTCCAATGCATCAAGGCATCTAGCTTATTTTGCCATCAATATTTTTTGGGACCATTATCTTGGCTTACTGATAAGCCGATGAATGGGCGACGAAAGCTGTTAACAACCAAATTGTATGTTGTCAGTTTTTTCAGACTGCCCTAGGTGAGCAGACCAATACTCTGCTGTTGACGTCTAGCTTGGAGGAGAACCTTTCCAGTGCAAATTCTGGCTTGAGCTCCTCAAGAGTGGGGATCTTTAGAAAACATTATGTGCTTAGCTGCTTGGGATCCGGACACATCCTGAACGGGCCGTCTTTAACTGTGATAGAGCTGCACCCGTCCGTGTGATGGGAGACTTTTCGTATGACCCAGCCTTTC